AATTTTCAAATTTGGTAAAAATATTAAAATTTCAAAAATTTAGCTTGTACAGTATTTATTATGATCTAGTAATGGCATATGATGATCATATTCTTTTGTTTTATGTAGTTTGCTGTACAAAAAAAATCAATATGGTGAAATGGACTATGTAAATATGATCATCCCTGAAAGTGCAGGACCCTTCTTAGTACAGGTAAATGTACCAAAAGCTGTGATCTCTCTAACCCAGAACTGTGCAAGAACACTTTAAATAAGAATGAATGTTTCAATAGGGAATGTCCAGCTTTTCACATAAAAGGTACCAAGTGAATAAGTCCAACAAACCACCTCTATGAAAGCAGCCACAACACTATTTACTAGGATGATTTTTTAGCAAGAGGAGGAGGAGAAGAATGGCTAAAAATGTCCAAACTCGACCACCAACTCGGTCAAATGCTAGAGAGGACGCAAACACAGTGGCCTCCTTACCAGAGCCTCAGATTTTAACACAAAGTAAAGCATCCAGCACTTCCACAAATATAACATAATTTTTATTTTCCAACATTCAAGGTATAAAAACACGCAAATGTAACAAAGTGCACTTCAGAGATGGCTTCTTACACGAGGCAAATGGTGTTTGCAACCCTAACAGAAAGTCGCCAAGGACTACCATGATGGTGAAATATGGATTTCGTAGCACAATCTTTTCAGATGTGACGGGAAACACAGGCTACAGGGTGGGGTCAGCCTGTACATCAAGGACACGCTCATCTGCACTGAGCTGCTAAACACCACAAATGATATGGTGAAAGTGCTGATAATCAAAATAGAGATCTTAAATGTAGTCATTGTCCTTGTATAAAAGTCACCAGAGGCAAATCATCAGCAGTTACAACAGAACCCTCCTTGCCATACTTTACTAGCAGCTGTGACACAACACCAGCACTGAATGTACGTATAGACGGTCTCCTGCCAGATTTTACTAAGTACATATTGAAGCAGTTGAGCACTGCAACATCCATCAGGTGGAAGAAGAACTTTTTAGTCCACTTCACAGACTTGCGCACGCACTCCACTCCACCAAGCATCATGTCACACTTATCGACGAGGCGCATATTCACGTTATAGTCTATGACACAGTCTGGCTTATACACGGTGTTGCGTGTCTGAAAGTGGACTTTCCCACTGTCCAACATGGCACCGGTGTGAATCGTACTCAGCATATTCACCTCGCGTCTGTCCTTCCACCGCACTGACAGCGTATTGTCACACTTGCGCAGCTGGCACTCGCCCACGGCTATAGCTATACCGAACACTGGCATTTCCTTCCTATGGCTCTTCACAGTGCCACATACGCCGGTGTTGTGGGCAAGGAGGTATCTGGTCAATAAGGGGCTGGTGTAATAGTTGTCGGTGTACAGTACATGCCCCTTGTTCAGCAACGGTTCCATCAGGGTTTTCACAACACTGCCAGAGAACCCGTGTTCATCTTGAGCCGGTATGTCGACGTCTGTACCAGAATATAATATCATGTCCAAGACAATACCAGTCTCACAGTCGCATAGCACAAAAAACTTCAGTCCAAATCGGTGCCGCTTTGATGGAATGTACTGTTTGAATGCCAGTCGCCCCTTGAACAGTACAAGCGACTCGTCAATAACCACATTCTGTCCAGGTACAAATAATCCCTGAACTTCCCTCTCATGTCACTGAACATCTTCCGTACTTTCCACAGTCTGTCGTGTCTGTCCTCATTTGCATTATTCTCGAAATGCAGGCACCTGAGAATCAAGAGATACCTATCACGCGACATGTACCGGTTGAACACAGGCGATGGAACAAGGCTGTCTTTGCTCCAACATTCCTGGATGACAGCTTTCTCAGAGTGCTTCATCATCATGGTGAGTGCCAGAAACACGTACATTTCGTCGATTGTCGTGTCCTTCCATCGTGTGAGCCGTGAGGCAGGTAAAATGCCTTCGTCTATGAGGCTGTGAGCGAACCTGTTTGTCTCAGTCACAAGATGCGCCATGAATACATTGTCAAAATATGCCTGAAAATATTCCATGTCTGCCATATCATCACCAGTATATGGGAATAATGGTGTAACACCAAAATCGCTATCATCAAATGTTGGTATTTGAGGGGCAAATGTGGTGCAATCCTCCCACACAAGTACACCAGGGGGTTTGGTGTTGGCGCCAACACCACGGCCAACACCACCACGAGCACCAAAACTACGGCTACGTCGTCCGCTGCTTCTGCTGGAGCTGCGTGAGGGTATGCTAGGCGCTGAGGCAGATTTACGTACTGTAGACCTACCACGAATAAATGATGTTGAGGGGCCACTGTCGTTGTCCACATGCTGTGAGGCACGCTGCCGCCTGCCGTTAAAGACCAACTATTGAAAATAGAACACTGCTTAGAAAACCTCACAAATCCAGCCTCAAACATCATCCTGCTTGGGGAATTCAAACTACGGCACCTGAAATGGAAGACCATACATAGCTGATACAGTTGTATCGGAGAGAATTCCGGGAAGTAGCCTAAATGAAGTCACATGCATATGACCTGCTACAGATGTGCAACAGTGCCATGTGCCTTAAACCAGCAAATAGAACCAACTAGGAAGGAGAACATTAAGTTTTGTAATATAAAAATCTGAACCAATTACCTTTTATATGGCTATGAACTATCACAAAAACATCTAAACTTGAGTCTGATCACATTTTTGACTACCTAGTTGGAAAACCTACATAACAAAGAAAGTCAAAAGTTCTGCCACCTGTGGGGGGATTAACATGTTGACCAGTTTAGTTTCAAATTCTCATCCATAGTGACGGGTATGCATTTTCCAAGATGTAGACCCCACAATAAAATCAGCTGAGAAAGGTGGAAAAAAAAATTGGTTGGTAGCTTCTCATACAAAGGAACATGAGAAATATTGGCATTGGGCAATACGAGTGTCCCTGTACTGTATAAGAGTTTTTTTTTTTTTTTTTTTTTTTGGAATACGAGCAAGATTTGCTCGGAAAATTTACATCGGAATAAGAGTGTTGCCTCGGAAGACGAGGGTGTTGATACTCGTACAGGCCGACTAGCGCATGGTGGCACGGCGATCGCACCTCAGTTTACCAGTGCCTTGCACCCAGTGACTATACCGCCAGAATTCTTCAAGGATTTACAGTTTTTTGTCAGATTTTTGGCCATTTGAGCATAAAAGTTTTTATATATCTCGCCATGGGTCTCAAGAAAGCCAGTGGTAAGGTTCAACCTAAGAAAATAGTTGAGTAGAGGCAGTAGAGGATGTCGCTTCTTCATTAAGAAAATGTGTGAAGTATGGGAAGAACTGCAAAGTTTTGTTAAAAATAACTTGCTCAGATAAAGCTGTAGCAGGCTGTTGCATTGACCTTTTAAATGAGTGTGATGTCTTACTACAGACAAGTGTTAAAATGTAGGGAAAAAAGTGTCTTTAGGCAGATTCTTAGGGGATACCACAAGCAAGTCCTAGTGGTATGCAGGCAAAACATGCCAGTGTGTGCACACCAGTGAAGTTACTGTCTGATGTTATAATGGAAGGGGACTCCCCTTCCAAACAGTAACACCTCTCCTCCTCCCTCCTCACAATCTTCCATACGCCAACAGCAGTCATCAGCAAGGGTAAGTAATAGCTTGAACATACTTTTGTAGTGTAGATTTGGATGAATTGGGTATAAAATTTAGTTTGAAGTGAGGTTTTTGGGTAGTCAGGAACGGATTAATTAGTTTCCCATTATTTCTTATGGGGAAATTAGCTTCGGTTTAAGAATTTTCTGATTACGAGCCGTCTCCTGGAATGGATTAAGCTCTTAAACCGAGGTACCCCTGTACGTGGTACCGTCATTTAAGATTGTAATCCGTTACCAGAGACGCGTTGTCAACCAAAACGAATTTTCCCATAAGAAATAATGTAAATTTAATTAATCCGTTCCACACCCCCAAAAATATCAACTTAAAAATACATTTTATACCGAATAATTCATTTTGTACTTGCTACAATACAGTATGTATTTTTTGCCATGAATGAGGACTTGTTGGCATATGGAAGACGGTTATGAGGAAAGGGGGGGGGGGTGTGTGTGTGTGTGTGTGTGTGTGTGGAGGAGAGGTGTTACTGCTTGGAAGGGGAGTCCTCTTTCATTATAACATCAGGCAGTGATGATTTCACTGGGGTACACACACACCTACGTTTTGCAGGCATACCACTAGGACCTGGTTGTGACTCACTGCTTGCTTGTCTTGCTAAGAATCTGTCTAAACACTTAACTGTCTAAGCACTAAACACGAATCTGGCAAACAATGAAATTAGTCACAAAGCATTCAAGTGCGGCTGCGGTAGTCACTGTGGGATAAACTTGTAAACAGAGTGTGCCTCACCCCATACCCCTAGCACCACGCATTCATTCGACCCATACGTGTACAAACAGATGTCGTCTTCAAAGTGAACCGTCGTACACCAATTCAAATTTTGCGATGAATTTGATGTCTTCAACCAAAAAATTTGTCCCCGAGGACTGTCATCAACCTAGGTTCCACTGTACTGTATAATAAATTCAGCAAAATAACAAAATAACAAAAGTTGTGTGAAATTTGGCCTTCCAGGTGGCAATCAGCAATGCCACCAGCTGCATATCTACTTTGTGGACCTTCCTTACTACTACCCTTCTTAGTGTTTCAAACAGATGCTTGCATATCTTTATCCCTACATTATCCCCGAGTTCCAGTAAATAGGTGTTATCGTCATCATCATCGTCGGTTGCGGCCCGTCGCGCACTGATTTATTAAAAAAAATGGTATAAAATACATTTTTTAACATACACTATTGGGATGGAATTTTAGACGTTGATACCAAATGAAATGAGATTTGCTTGACATTTTAATTTTTTTTTTTTTTTTGGATGAATATGTTCAGATTCCCATCCCCTTAAGCTATGTACCAGTATTTGAATGGTAAGACAACCTTGTTTTTTCCCGTGATTCAGGTATCTGCCGGTGGAGGTACTGTCCTCAATCCGGAGGCTTCGGTGTTCCATCTTCCTGCTACTTTACATGCCTCAAACATGCCGCCCTCGCCTACCCTCACACCCACCACCACCACCCATCCACCCACTATCAATGGGTTCCACTCACATGGTAAGTATGGACGATTTTAGTACTGTGTGTGTGTAATTGAGGCAGCAGGTATGGTAATTGTGGATTTGAATAATGTTTATCTGCTTGTTGCTATTGTAAATATATTGTATTTGCAATTTCAATTTAAAGAGGTATTAAAACTTAAAAAATTGGAACAAATCCACAAGGGCCGTGATGAGGATTCGAACCTGCATCCAGGAGCATCCAGGAGTGTAGTGTAGTGTTAAAAAAATTTATATCCAAACCACACATTAAAAAACATTTCTACATTTTTAGTGTCGATTCTATCAATTGAACTTCATTCTAGATATGCAAAGCCTCTGGAATTTTATTCATACATTTATTATACCATGTTTTGTTAAATTCTCTTGGCTAATTTCATTCACATGTGCACACAAAAGAAATCTGAAAATGGCTCTTCCCAAACTGATCCAAGGGATACTTTCTTTATTGGTTTGTCCCTCATAACCTACTTTCCCTAAATTTAACAAGGCTGTCCTTTGTCTGCCTTATCTACCTTATCTATCTTTGTCTACCTGTTTCCAAAATACTTTGAGTATTTTGGAAACATAGGCTCTAGAGGAGAGAAGAAACCAGGGTTGAGAGATTTGGCTTCCTTGACCAAACCTCGTAGCTTGGCTCTGGCACTAACCTTATTGCAAAAAAATTATTTTAAATATACTTTGTGCTTCATAACATTCAGATTCCAGGCAACTCAGACATATTAAAGTATTGACCAAATGTAGGTTATGTAGATTGCTTTGGGAGTCCTTATTTAAGTTTTAAAATTGTTCTCTGTTTGGCAGCTTCCAAATGTGTTACTGACATTACTGTGTTCCTCTGATGTTATTGGTATGTTTAGTGGTAATGGTGGTGGTGTACAACACTTAGTTTAGATAATGCTACAGTCTGAATTCTACACTGAAATATGAGGACACTGATGATACACAAAGATATCATAACCAAAACCTGCCAAGTCCAGGTTGGTTATGATACCTAATCAGGTTGGTGAGGATGGATTAAACGATATTTTCACTTGACTGTGAGCAAGTGAAAACAGGAGAAGCAAGAAGAGATGAATGCACACGAAATGGAACTCCAAGGGCACTGAAACACACATTTCGGTATGATGCCATTGATCCCAGCTGGCGTTGTGCCGTATCCCAAATGCAGCTACCCAAAACAATAGTAATATACAACCAGTAATAATAATAAAGATTAAACTTTCCCAAAAGAATAAAATTTAATTGGATAGGAAGAAAATAAGTGAGCATTACCATAGGTTTTAAACATCTTTTCTCTAACTATAAGGAGAAGTACAACACGACTCTCAATTGTATTCTAGGGAACTTTATGAACACATGTAAAAGAAACCTTGTTGCTTGCTTTATGGTGGTTATTAATTGCATGAGCAGTTTTCCTTACTTGACCAAGCAACCAACCAACCAGGAGATGAAGGAACGTGCATTTGTATAGTACAGTATAATGTGAGCAACATAAACTGTTAGTGTCAGAATATGGCACCGGTAATGCTAGTCTAACATTACCAGAGTGAGACAGCATAACAAAGATAATTTGAAGAGCCATTTGGAGCTGGTGTTTATGCAGTTCAGGTGAGAGTATTATATACAAGCAAAGAAACACGCAATTACAAATGAGAGATTATAGAAGAGTTAGGTCCCTTCATAAGGATGTTTTATTAAAGTGACCTAAAGGAGAAGCAGATAAGAGATAATGGGATACAATACTGTAATAAGGGAAACAATAGAGGTTACAAAAAGCTCATCACTTTCAGAAATTCTAAGAGGTGCAATGAACATATGGGTCAGCAAGTAATTATAGGAGGCCACAAACAGCAGCAAAGGCTTGTACAAAGTACCCAAGCTAACAAGGTGAAGCAAAGGGAAGACTGACAAATGTACTACTGTAGTTAGGTCAGAGGTGTTAGACATACAGGTGTTAGGTGTTAGACTGGGAGCCGGTGGCTGAACAGACAGAACACTGGACGCGTGATCCTGTGGTCCCGGGTTCAATCCCGGGCGCCGGCGAGAAACAATGGGCAGAGTTTTTTTCACCCTGATGCCCCTGTTACCTAGCAGTAAATAGGTACCTGGGAGTTAATCAGCTGTCACAGGCTGCTTCCTGGGGGTGGAGGCCTGGTCGAGGACCGGGCCGCGGGGACACTAAGCCCCGAAATCATCTCGAGATAACCTCAAGATCTCAAGATAACCCAACCAACCAACCATACAGCCTGTCATATTGGCAAATTGTTTTTGTTGTCCATTTAAAGGAAGATGCTTGCAGGCTCCATAGCATATAAGATGTTTGTGAACATTAATTCAGTAAGTATTAGTTATCTATGGTTTTAAGTATGTAACCTCCTGGATGAGTTTTGTCAACTCAGAGAAAGTACTTTTCTGCATTAATCACTAAAATTGATGAAAGTACAGATGAAACTGATACAGCACAACTCTAAATTTTTATATGTGGTGGTGATGTAAATATGCTGTTGACATGTGTGTAAATTAATATCAATAACATGAACAGGTGGTGATATCTTTGGGTTTTGTGGGAGCACTGGAAAAAGTAGGAATTTATTAGACAAGCAGAGTCCAGCCACAGATAAAACACTGAAAATTATAGTTAGAAAAGTGGCTACTAAATTAAATGTAAAACTGCCGACTTAATACCAACCTGGAAATTTATCGTTGTTGAATAATTCATAGAAGTGTTGTGCAATAAAACTAATAATGAATGTCATGGATATTGTAAATGCTGGGAATTTTACCCAAGCATGGAATCTTAACTGCAGGAAGTTCAACTACTTTTTAAAAGAAAGACTCGTGGCCTGCCACTTCACATTGATGTTTGATGGTTTAAGTCGGGGCGCTGTACTGAAAATTTAATGAATCAAGAGATGACAAACATTTATGAAACAAAAAAAATATGGGATATGGACTGAAAAGAATACCGGGAGGCCTGGTTGGAGACCGGGCTGTGGGGCTGTTGATACCTGGAAACTACAAAAAGTAAAAATAACAAATGGATTAACTCTACTTTTCAAGATGTATATCACGGAACACTTAACCCTTAAACTGCGTATGGCATATATATACGCCAAGGGCCGGTGGTACCATATGTTAAATTTTTAAACCTTCTATCGCTTTCAAATTTTTTGTGCATAATCTACTAGGCAAACACTCCAACTTTGTCGAAATGATCATCAACGTAACTTGAAAAAAAGAAAATTAAAGTAATTATGAAATTAAATATTGAAAATTTCAGATTTTCAGATCGGCTGCAAAAATATTTAATATCGCCAATTGTTCATTAAGTGTTGTTATGCTCTTGGAATAGTATATGATCTTCATTTTAATACATTTAGAATATAGATTTACAGTTTAGTTTTCTGTAAAAAAAAAGTAAAGTAATTTGAAATGTGCACCAAATTCAGACAACAAAATTTATAACTCAAAACGTTTAGAGTTTATTAAAAATCCATCCTAATAGGATTGTAGAACAGACAGCAGTGCACACTATGCAGTATGTAAAAATGGCGAGAATCAGTCGGAAACGGAATTTTTAGAAGCGGACTCAATGTTGAAACTCTACTTTTAGAGATACTGTAATTGACGTTGAAGTTATTGACAATGTATAAGGTACAGTGGAACCCTGGGTTACGAGCGTTCCTGATTACGAGTTTTTCGGGTTACGAGCCCGATTTGTTCGGAAAATTTGCAGCGGCATATGAGCAATGCATCGGGTAACGAGTTTGTTGATTCGCGTATGGGCCGACCTAGAGCGGGGTGGCACGGCGATCGCTCCTCAGTTTACCAGTGCCTCGCGCCCAGTGATTATCCCGCCTGAATTCTTCACAAGGATTTACAGTGTTTTGTCGGATATTTGACCATTTGAGCATAAGTTATTATAGTGCATATCTCGCTTACAACAGCCTAGTTTGTTACAGGGTCCCAAGAAAGCCAGTGGTAAGGTTCAAGGCAAGAAATCACATGTGAGGCTGACAATAGAGGAAAAACAATCACATGTGAGGCTGACAATAGAGGATCATTTGTAAACATGAAAATGGTAATCGTGTTATTGAACTTTGTAGGCAGTACAACAAATCCACGTCAACGATATGCACTATACTTGCCAAGAAAAAGGACATAGAGTGCTAAAGTGGCAAAAGGCATATCAACAATCATGAAACAAAGACCACAAATACTTGAGGATGTGGAAAAGTTATTAATTTGGGTACACAACAAGGAGTTAGCGGGTGATAGTGTTTCAGAGGCCATCATTTGTGAGAAAGCCAGGGTATTGCACGAAGACCTTGTAAAGAAAACCCCTGGAATGAGTGCAGATACGATAGACTTTAAGGCAAGCAGGGGATGGTATGACAAATTTAAAAAAAAAAAGTGGTATTCGTAGTGTTATGAGGCATGGGGAGGCTGCCAGCTCAAACAAACCAGAGGCTGAAAGATTTATTGAAGAATTTAGAGAGTTTGTAGAGGCTGAGGGATTCCTACTGCAACAGGTGTTGTGAATTGTGATGACAGGACTGTTCTGGAAAAAAATTGCCTAATTGCCTAAAAAAGAGGACATACATTACCAAGGAGGAAAAATCATTGCCCGGACACAAGCCTATGAAAAATAGGTTTATGCTTTTGCTGTGTGGAAATGCGAACGGGGATTTGAAAATTAAACCCTTGCTTGTGCATCATTCGGAAAATCTAAGGGTTTTTAAAAAGTATGGTGTGCAGAAAAATCAAATGTGTGTGATGTGGAGGGCTAATAATAAGGCATGGGTGACTAGGATTTTTTTATGGAGTGGGTGAATGATGTGGTGTGCCCTGCCATACAAAAATATCTGCAGGAGAAACATTTGCCACTCGAGGCCCTGCTTCTCCTCGGCAATGCTCCTGCTCATCCTCTAGGCTTGCTAGATGGATTGTTGAACGGATATAGTAATTTTCTCTCGGTAAAGTTCCTTCCTCTTA